CTTCCTGCGGGGGCCCACCACGTGTGCTAGCCCCCCGCCAGTGTGACTTTCCCTGTCCAGGCTCAGTCCTTAATCCTGCTGACTAGCAGCCCTTTGTAGGCTCAGGTGTAACCCAGACCTCTCTAATTAGCTGGAGTGGGCTCACCTGCCCCGGTCCAGGGGAGCTGGGCTTTATCTGTCTACAGGGATCAGCTACCCTGTGACAACCCTCCACAGCTTTTATCTTTACTGTGCAGAAGGAGAAAGGGAGGGATGCAGCAGGTGAAGCTTCTGTCCTGGGGTGTTGGGTATGACGAAGATAGCAGATGTGTTGGTGCCGCCAGCTGACTGAGTTCCAGCTCCACAAGAAAAGGATTCAGCTGTTTGTTTGTTTTTCTTCCCTCACAGTGTATAACTGGACAGTTGATGAGGTGGTGCAGTGGCTAATCACCTATGTGGAACTGCCACAGTATGAAGAAACCTTCAGGAAACTGCAGCTAAGTGGACATGCCATGCCCAGGTTAGTGCCGATTGCATCGTCTCACTTATGTGTGTGTGTGTGTGTGTGAGAGAGAGAGAGGAACATATTTATGGGATTAAATAATGGCGGGTGAAATTCCTCCCGGTGCAGAGGGGCTAGCACAAGGCCTGCACCACTTAAGTCCTGTTCTGAAGCTTTATAAGGTGCATAGGCTTTGCACTGGCGCTCTGCACAGAGATGAGTGAGAGGATGTGAGCTGAAGGAAAGGAGAGGGTGTGATATGCTCTAGGGGGAGTTCGGGTAGGGCAAGAACTTGCGGGAAAAAGGTTATACTTTACCACGTAGGAGACACTGTCCTGAATCCCAGATTTCATCTCTCTCTTCTGCAGTCAACAGGACCTGGCTACACCATAGGGGAAGTATAACCTTGTGGTTAAAGCCTGGAATAGGACAAATCAGATGTGGGTTCAGTTCCTGGCTCCCTCTGTGACCTGGGGCAACTCGCTGAATCTCAGTTCCCCATCTTTAAAATGTGGATAATCTTTCTTTTCTCCCACCCTGTATCTGACTTGTCTGTGCAGAGAGTAAAGTCTGTGGGGCAAGGACTATCTCTTATGTGTGTGTACAGTACTTAGCACAGTTCTGCCCTCACCAAAGGCTCTTAAGCAAAGTAATCTGTCATGGGATAAGAGGGAAGGTCCCCTCACTTATCGGGAACTGGATAAAAGACAGGAAACAAAGGGTAGGAATAAATGGTCAGTTTTCAGAACGGAGAGAGGTAAATAGTGGTGTCCCCCATATTCATAAATGATCTGGAAAAAGGGGCAAACAGAGAGGTGGGAAAACTTGCAGATGATACAAAACTACTCAAGATAGTTAAGTCCAAAGCAGACTGCAAAGAGTTACAAAGGGATCTCAAAGGGCAACAAAATGACAGATGAAATTCAATGTTGATAAATGCAAAGTAATGCATGTTGCAAAACGTAGTCCCAGCTATACATACAAAATGATGAGATCGAAATTAGCTGTTACCACTCAAGAAAGAGATCTTGGAGTCATTGTGGATAGTTCTCTGAAAACATCCACTCAGTGTGCAGCAGTGGTCAAAAAAGGTAACAGAATGTTAGGAACCATTAGGAAAGAGAGATAATGTGATAGATAATATCATAATGCCATTATATAAATCCAGGGTATGCCCACCTTTAATACTTCATGCAGTTCTGGTCACCCTGTCTTAAAAAAAGCTATATTAGAATTGGAAAAGGTACAGAGAAGGGCAACAAAAATGATAGGGGTATGGAACACCCTTCTGTATGAGGACAGACTAAAAAGACTGGGACTTTTAAGCTTGTAAAAGAGACAACTATGGGGGGATATGGTAGAGGTCTATAAAATCATGGCTATGTGGAGAAAGTGAATCCGGAAGTGTTATTTACCCCTTCACACAACACAAGAAGCAGATGTCACCAAACGAAATGAATAGGCAGCAGGTTTAAAACAAACAAAAGGAAGTATTTTTTCATACAATGCACAGTCAGCCTGTGGAACTCGTTGCCAGGGGATATTGTGAAGGCCACAACTATGTAACAGGTTTCAAAAAAGATCTAGATTAGTTCATGGAGGATAGGGCCATCAGTGGTTATTAGCCAAGACGGTCAGGGAATGCCTAATGGGTCCTTTACCTCTATTTGCCAGAAGCTGGGAGTGGATGACGGGATGGATCACTTGATGATTGCCTGTTCTGTTCATTCCCTCTGGGGCACCTGGCACTGGCCACTGTCGGAAGACAGGATACTGGGCTAGATGGATCATTGGTCTGACCCAGTATGGCCGTTCTTACGTTCCTATGCCCTGGTCTTGGGTGGGGCCTCTAGGTACTCTAGTAATACGAATAATAAACAAGAGCTGCAGAATCTCATGCTACTCAACAGCAACACTTGCTGTTGGATTAAATAATAATAATAATAAATGGAGATATCCTATCTCCTAGAACTGGAAGGGACCTTGAAAGGTCATTGAGTCCAGCCCCCTGCCTTCATTAGCAGGGCCTGGTACTGATTTTGCCCTAGATCCCCAAGTGGCCCCCTCAAGGATTGAATTCACAACCCTGGGTTCAGCAGGCCAATGCTCAAACCACTGAGCTATCCCTCCCCCCCTCACTGATTGGGGACTGGTTAAAAGATAGGAAACAAAGGGTAGGAATAAATGGTCAGTTTTCAGATTAGGAGTGGGGCTAACAGACCGAAAGGCCCAATGTTATCCTTGCTAACAAGGGGCCTGTAGGCAGGGTGGGGAGAAGATGTTGTAAGTGGTAATAAAATAAGGCTTCTGTGGCAGTGCATGCTTTGCTCCAGAGCCTGGGTGTGCTGATCTGATCAGGTTTTCTCCCATCTGGGAGACCTCTCCAGTGTTGGCCGTGCAAAGGATGAGGTGCCAGTTGCCAGCTATATGGAGTTGAGGAAGCAACTGATGGATGGTGTGGCCAAATAGAGAGATTTGGGTAGGTCTGGGTGAAAAATGCGTTTGAGTTCCAGGTTTAACTGAAAAAAATGGCACTTGTCACTTTCTGATTCTTGTGCCAATACCCACCTGATTGCCAAGGAAGCTGTTTTTTAAATATCTAGCCTGCTTCAAAGGCTGAATTTTGAGTTCTCTAAGGGTCTTCCACTTGCCTTGGTATCTGAGAGGACAGTGCCCTGGTCCTGTTCATTGTATTTCTCCTCTGAGATCTCAGGCGCTGGTATTCTTATCCCATTGCCATTTCCAGATTGAAATGTGACCGCTTGCTCTTTTTTCCCCCCGTAGGTTAGCGATAAACAACGCCACCATGATGGGAACTGTACTGAAAATGACTGATCGGAGCCACAGGCAGAAGCTGCAGCTGAAAGCCCTGGACACAGTGCTGTTTGGACCTCCTCTCTGTGAGTAATGCTGCAGAGCTGGCTCGTTAGAGAAGGGTGGAAGGAATCCACCCATTCCAGACAGTGTCTAGGATGTACCTAGTGCAGGTGAAACCAAATTGTTCCCTACCAAAGTTCATCTAGGGAACTTGCTAAGAGCCTGATTTGCACAAAATGGAAGCAGAGCTACCAATATATTAACTATGGAGATGCAGCCCTGAGGACTACAGGTCCCAGTCTGCAATCCTGCATTTTTATCGAATTGGATGCTGGCTGTAACAGAAATGAAGCATTGCATGCTGGACCCACAGTCTCTGTGGGCTACACCTCGTATTCAATGCAACATCAGTTCGGAACACACTCTAGAATTCTGAGGTCTGCATCTGGTGTCTGGGTAAATCTCTTATTTTCTCTGTTTTGGAATGCAGCTGCCATGTATCCTTGCTTGAAAGATCTTGTCATGTTGTCACAGCACTATAATATCAGTGGGGCAGAAGCAAAACTGCCTGATCTTGGATGTGGAAAACAGCAGTGCAGATTAGTTGAGAAGACATTTTAGACTGAATGAAAACTGGGAATTGAGTTCTTGTCATGCAATACCAACTAACGGTGTCTGTGGATCTGGAAATCTGGTTGATGTGCATTGTATTTTTGGTTAAATCTCCCTCATCACCTCTCTTCCAGCTTGTTTTCTTTTTTATACTCATGTTCCCTTTCTTGTTATTTATTTCTGTACAATATCACGTATTGCACAATCTGCACTGCAATTCAATGCTTTAGCTGGCCCGTGGTAGCTGGCTCGGGCTGCAGGGCTGCAGAATTGCCATGGAGACTTTCGGGCGTGGGGTGGAGCCTGGGTTCTGGGGCCTCCCACCCCCTCATGGGGTCCCAGAGCTCAGGCTCCAATCTGAGCCTGAACGTCTACACTGCTGTTTTACAGCCCAAGTCAGCTGACACAGGCCAGCTACGGGTGTTTAATTTCAGTGTAGACTTACCCCTAGAAGCCCTGCAGTGATTAAGGCCCCATTTTGCCAGGCACTGTACAAACGCAAAATAAGAGAGAGTTTTTCTAGCTCAGTGGTTTGAGCATTGGCCTGGTAAACCCGGGGTTGGGAGTTCAATCCTTGACGGGGCCACTTGAGTAACTGGGGCAAAATCAGTACTTGGTCCTGCTAGTGAAGGCAGGGGGGCTGGACTTGATGATCTTTCAAGGTCCCTTCCAGTTCTAGGCAATAGGATATCTTTCCCTTTTTCGTTTTCTCCCTTCCATTACATATCGGTATCTATTGCTCTGTGCTGGCTACATTAGCCCTGCTCCTTTTTAACCCAGTACATGTTGTTTGTCTTCCCCACTTACCCTTCTTGTACCTTCCAGGGAGAAGTTAGGGCTTCCTCTCCATTCTCCCTTCCTGATCTAAGTTTTTTCTCTGCCCCTCCCTTTGTAGAGTCCATGCCCCTTAGCCATCTGGGCAAAATGTAAATCCTCCACTCTCTCATACCACAAGATAATGTCAGAGTGCAAATGCAGCCAGCATTCTCTTTCCAGTGATTTTGCGGCAGGTCTTCAGTGAGAGTTGCCTTAGTGCAGCCCTGCCTGCCCAGAAATCAGCCAAGTTGAAGTTTGCTACTTGCTGGATGAGATTTAAACTGACTGGTTTAAACAGATTAATTGTTCCAGCAGGCCTCTCTTGTACAATTAGCAGAACAGCCAGTTCTGCTCCCCAATGTTAAAAAAGTCTTATTTTGAGACAGTTCTGCTTTCATTATTTCTACTGAGTTTATGTTCTACGGTTGAAATTTTTGATAGTGGTCAGTGGCATTGCAGACTAATGGTTAGAGCAGGGACTCCTGGGTTGAATTTCTAGTGGAACCACTGATTTAAGATGTACGCTTGAACATGTTAATCTCTGTGCCTGACTTTCCCCGTCTCTGAACTGGAGATAATAACTGACAACATATCAGTTTTAGGAGAATGAATGTTTGCAAAGGGCTTTTAGATTGTCTGATGAAAGGTGTTTTTTAAGTGCAAAGTGAACGCTACATTATTCTTAGCCGTTAATGCAAGCCTTAGCATTATCCTCATTTGTGATATTCCATCCTGCTAAAATGGCCATAATAGCATTGTAATGCTGAGTCCTTTCTATGTTCAGACTGCTGTACAAACACTATTGAATGCGATGATTGCAATATTTGAATAGACGAAGGTCAGCACGTCTCTGGTACAGAACTTGTGGTTAGGGATTGTCACTGGGTAAATGAATGGAGGCCATACCTTGGAAATGATTAACAATTGAAATAAAGGATAAAACCTGGTTAATTTAATGGAATGTTCCAGGTTAAAACTGCATTTTATATATACTTAGAGAGCTATTTATCTAGAACTAATTCCCGAAGGATTGCAAAGCTGCTGGGTTTGAACAGACATCCGTGATTAGCCATGTTTCAGGAAGTGCTTGGCCACCAGTTAAATTGTGAGGTGGGTGTTTGCCCACTGCTGGATTTAGTGAATTCAAAGGAATTACTGTTACACACCAAGTTTCCTTTTTGTCAGTCAAATAAAGGTGGCCTCCCACAACAGCTACATCCCCCTGGCAGTGTGCAACTGCCAACCAGTAGGATGAGGCTTGTGGGTGCAGGAGACAGAACTCTCCCAGGAGTTGGATTAAGACTATGGAACTCGCTGCCAGATGAACTAAGGTTGAGTAATCTGACCTCATTCAGAGCTACATGCAAAACCCACCTCTTTGTTCAGGCTGTCGTGCTTGGGCAGCCTCACTTTCATTCTTACGGATGACCAAAAAGCAGTGCTTGCTTCTTATCTGCAGAGAAGGAAAAGGGAAACGCTCATTGAAGACATTCTGATATTGCAGTGCTTGGGGCCACATAAGAATTTAGGAGGACTGGAAAAGCCACTGAATTAGACAAACGTAGCTTCCCACTTCAGTCAAATAAGGCCAAAGCCATAAAAAAAGTAGATAATGCCACTACTGTGGAGTGGAGATTTCGAGAGGGACAATACGGTGTTTGCTCATTAAGGCAGAACATATTTGGCTGGAATTTTCCAGTCTTTGATGCCAGAAGTTTGTTCAGTAATGAAACTATGAAATCTGGTGCAGAGGCTCCAGCAGACTCCTGGTCACCTATGGTTTGTCCAGCATGGCTGCCGCTGGGTAGATCCTTGGGATTTGATGATGACTGAACTTGACTTGCTGTATGTGTTGCATTATAAACCAACCCCCACATTGTCCCTGTTGCAAAAATCATGGTCCTGTGCTTAATCAGAGTGTTGAAGAATGAGGGAGAAGAGGAAAGTGCCATAAAGTAACCCAAATGTGGCAAAGACGCTTGGGGATTCCGTGAATGCAGTTGGTTTAAGCATCAGTTTGGCTGCAGTTCTCATAGCATGTGAATAAAACTGTACCAGAAAGAATGTTTTTTGGAGTAGATACTGTACCAGAAAGAATGATTTTTGGAATGCACAACAGAGGAGGAAGTGAACTGCTTGCTTGCATGTTACCTTGAGAAGGTAAAGTTCTGATATATCTAATGTGACATAGGGAAGAGAGTTAACTTGTTGGTGAATTTATAAGATACTTTAGCTTGTTTCTTTAAGAGTTATTGTCAAGGGAATAGAACAGTGTCACACAGCAATGGTCACCTCATGAGCATACTTTTACATAGCACCTTTCCTCCCAAAGGATCCGAAAGCACTTCTCAGACTTGGGAGTCACTTGGGAGTCACTCCAGCCACCCCTGGGGTGGACAACAACAGGGGCTGAATACCTTATTTTATTTCATGACCTCTGTGTCTTACATGCTGAATATGGTCCCTGATCCAAGGAGTTTCCAGGTCATAAAGACTTCCATATTTAAGTGAAGTTATTTGGGGAATTTAGGGATACAGAGTGTAATTAACCAATTACGATTTTAGCGAGGACACCAGCATTAACATCCCTACTCTTGTGAAAAGAGCCATACGATTTTTTAATCACCACAAGCAGTTAAAAAAATTGGATTTATGTCTCCTCCCACAAAAAATTGCCATTTGTACCACAC